TATGCCTTCTGTCGACCACAAAACCAAACGTGAACGTGAATTGCTGGCGAAAACGTTGGACCAAATGTTCCAATAAAAACATTAATTTTGGGCGGGACGAAGTTCGCCGGGTCTGCTAGTAATGTATATAACAAAAACCGAAATAATCAGCCCTATTCTGCATTTCGACTCGAATCGAAATTTTCTCCGTTTGGCAACTTTGGTATTCTGCGTTCCGTTTCCTTTCGATCAATCTTCGAAATTTACGATTATACCTATTCTACATTTCGATCGTAGTTCCGTTTTTCTAAGTTGCAAATTTGTTGACGGAGAACGTTTCAATTGTTATTTTCGTGGGTTTAAATAATAAAATTTTATAAAAAATTTGAGTAAAATATACTGTGCATGATTGTAAAAGTCATAATAAATGCATTTTCTCGATTTCTGTGTTTTCGCGAGCGGTAATACGGGCAATACGAAAAATTGGCTCAAATAATGGCAACCAAAAGGGATGTGCACATTTTCAAAGTGGAAGTCCAGGCGTTTTTGTTTACATTATCTATAAATAAGATTGTGAAATGCACTGAATGCAATTTATTCTTTTTATATAAAATTAATAGATGTATGCACATAGATACATACATACATAAAAAGTGAAGTTACATAAAAAAGATGCTTTTACTAAAAGAGGTGCGTATGTTGCCTCGAATTCGATTTGCTATGGAAAGATAAGCTTTGTTCTTCCCCTCCTCATGACGGCTTACAAAATGGGATTCATTTGCGTTCAAATCTTCCACTGTAGTAAATGCAAATTTTATGGAGTGCTCAAACAACGTTTATAATTTCACTGACTTTAAGCAATGAGTAATACAGTTCAAGATGATTTCCTTATGAATCTTCACTCATCTGAAAAAGATCAAACATGTCCCTAAATCTCCGCCTTTCAACTTCCGCATCAGCAATCTGGGACTCGTTCTTCTCTTCAAGCAATAACGCAGCGGCTATGGATTTCATTCTTATAATTATGTATCCACTTAAATTTTATTTTTAAATTACAGTGATGCTAGGTATATCTAGTTATTTTAAAATATTTACAAACTTCAACTTCATATGCTGCTATAGTTTGGTGGCAAATATTTCTTTGTTTTGTTTCGACTTCACACATTTCTAGGCAAACAGCTGATTTCGAAAGATGTTTTCTCTCTTCCTCTTCTTCTTTCGTTTCGATTGTAACGCAGAATACCTAAGTTCGATTCCAGCGGAGCGGAATGCGGGAACGTAATCGAAATGCAGAATAGGGCTGAATGCATGCATGCACAATTTCTGTTCAAACCCGAAATAATGCATATAACAAAAACCGAAATAATGCATGTATGCACAATTTCGGTTGGAAACCGAAATAATGCATATGAAAAACCCGAAGTAATGCATACATGCACAGTTTCGGTTGAAACCGAGTTAATTTCTAATACCTTGTTTATACCTACGCAAGAACCGCATTAACAAAAAGGTGGTTTGACTCAACACATATTTCTTTCATGTACTTATAACCTCGGTCATTATTGCGCACTCGATGAAGCCGTATTCAAAAGCAAACCAAATCTGCTGTTTTTATACGACATTTCTTTAATAACTAACTTGCGCGGTTGACCGAAACGGAAGCAAATTCGAATTCATTATAACAATAATTAAAATTTAAAAGGGGATGTATAAAGAAAGCCAGATTTTTTTCACTTCGCGTCAAATGAATGATAAGTTTATGCCTGTTTTCTAACCGATGTGAGAATTAAAAAACCGATTTGAAAATAAATTTGAGTCAATACACTTTTGAATTTCTGAGCGTATTGAAATTCGGTTTATGCATACGTTTTGAATCACGGCGAAGTGGGTTAAGGCGCTTTAGGTGTCGGTATAAACAAGGTATAAATGCACAGTTTCCATATGCGCAATTTCGGCGCCCCGAGTGTACTCGTACGCCCAACTATCTAAAGTCTTAGAAAACTTTTACTGGTTTTGCGTTCTCGTACCCAAAAAACTTGCACAGTAGGGGAAATTGAGAGAGCAAAATGTGAAAGAGCTGTAAATTTCTGCTGGAAAAAATTTTGCCATCTCAAACTTACAGGTAAGAAAATCAGCTGATGTAGACAAAAGAAAAATTGAAGTTTGCAAATATTTTTCTTTTATTTTATAAATTAACAAAAGCGAACGATGGAGAAAGTAAGAAATGGTGCACAACACAAAGTTTATTGAGTTAATTATATTATATGAGTTAGAAATCAACCAATGTTGAGGACACCTTTGAGGAATTCCTTCCTGAATCACGACCTTCGGGCGCAGTTGCTGCTGTTGGCAAAGTTGCACTTGAAAATAAGATCATTGAAGGTATATGTACTTGAATATTTGAGTTGTATAGTTTTAATATGCCGTACAGATACAAACAAAAATATGATGATTGTCACTACCATTGCCTTATTGATGGAGTCGAGCTCATCTAAAAGTGATGGTGAGGAAGATCGCATACTTTTGCATAAAATTTTGTCTACGGACGTTTGCCTTTTCACAAGTGAACAAACTCCGCGAAATTGTATTGTGAATTATGCAGAGAAAATAGTGCCAACGTATAACGAAAAAGAATTGCGGACGCATTTCCGGATTTCAAGAAGTTTATTCGAAAACCTTAGTCAACGAATTCTGCATTCAAGGCAATACAAAAACCTCAGAGAGGACAAAAGGCTTTCGCATAGTTTACTTGCTGGTGTTTTTGTGGTTCGCTGGGCACGAAGCTTGCAGTTACAGGGATTTAGGGGACCGATTTAACCTTTGTGTCAGCGGTGACAAATGTGATTAGCAGAGTTACAATGTTTGTAAGTTGATTGAGTCCTGATGTAATAAAATGGCCTACTGAGGAGAAAAAACGGGCATCAAGCGAATTTTTCAACAGATAATGTTTTTTCTCTAAAGCAGTCGGTAATTGTATTCATATTTACATATGTACATACTGCCGGCCTGATTTAAAACAGCTTAGTCTATTGCTGATGTGCTCTTTTTATGTACATATAAGCATTATTCTATCAATTTTAACTTAGGTTTCATAGACGGCACTCTCATCAGAATAGACCCACCAAAGACCGGAAAGGATGATTATATAGATAGGAAGGGGATTACATCAATTTGTCTACAGGAAATTTGCAATGAAGATAAAAAACTTATAAATATATTCGTGGGCAGCGTTGCCGTTTTGGTCCAATTGGACCAAAATTGGTAGCTTCATTCTCCGTTGGTAGCTTGGTTGGTTTGATGAAGCTTTTGGTAGGTAAAAGTATTGGGAAAATACAACCAAATTGAACATTAAAATTTGTTCGCTTAATTTGCGTTTACGCGTTCAAAACACTGCTTTCTCTTTACTTACACGTATAAGATTTCCTTATTTTTTCTATATTTTATTAAGCAGACAATTTTCTGCAAACAAAAATTCACTTCCCAAAGCTATGACCGATTAGCTGTTCAAATTAACGAGAAATTACCTATCGTCTTGAAAGAAAAATTGGTGATAGGCAATTTGCAAAGTGTGAGTGCATTGGTAAAAAGGGTGAGTGTATGCAAATTAAATCAAATTTGGATTTTTTTTTCAAATACATAAAATGTCTGCTTTTGTTATTTCACACACAAAAAAAGTTTTTTATATGAATTGAATCAATCTCAAAGGTATGTACATATTTTACAAAAGTTTTTTATACAATACGTTAATTCTTTTATTTAAAGGCCCGAATTTCTTTTGTTTAATCTTAAAGATTGGTGGGAATGGTTAACCAATTCTGTAAACAATATTATGTGTAGTTTTAATTTTTACTTCTAATTTGTGTAGCTAAAAGCCCCGCAAACTCGAGAAATTTCGTTTTAATGATGAACAAATTTTGGTCGTGTGGAAACTGATTTGGTAGGCGTTTTGGTACCTAAAATTATTTCAAGTGGCAACACTGTTCGTGGAATATCCTGGATCTAGCCACGATAGCTGGGTTTAAACAAATTCAATTATTTACGATAAATTATCTTCGTATTGTGGAGGTATCATTGAAGGGACATTTTCTCACCCTTTTTATCTCTTGGCGAATAAACATTTCATGATGCAGTCGAATGTACATACATTTCTCGTTTTTAAATACATTTTTTTTCTGTAATCCAGATTATTACCTTTTGGGTGATTCAGCGTACCCATGTAGCAAATTTCTAATAACGCCGTACAGGGATAATGGGCCCAAAAATATTTTCATATTATGCTCAGCTCCGGACGTTTGCTATTGAGCATACTTTTGGCATCTTAAAGCAAAGGTTTAGGCAGTTGTATTACTGCAAGTTAAGAAGCTTGAAGAAACTGTGCCACTTCGTAAGAGCTTCCTGCGTTTTGCGTAATATTTCAGTGAAGATGACCTAGAATTTATTTCTGAGGTGGCTCCAGATATAATGAAAGAAGTCACAACGCGCGGTGAAATTTCTAGGGGAAACTGTACATGATCCCATATGTCAACAGCTACAAGTTCTCCGTCAAAATACATAAACTAATATACACATTCTCTCACAAAATTGTTTAATTTATCACAATATTCAAAATCTTAATTTTAAATCTTTTTCTCAAATTTTTTATCTAAAACATTCCTTTCTATAACAAATACCATATAAATAAATGTTGAAAGCTTTGTACAAAATTTCAGAGAATCTGAAGAAATGCTCATTATAATATCATCATAATTAAAAACTAAACAGCGAATACTTCTGTGAGTTACTGTACATATACAACTAAACTTGTACTTTATTATGCTACAATTAAATGGGCTAAAAAACTGCATAATACAATTTGTTCTAAAGATTCTGATTAAAATCTTTGAAATTTGGGTGAAAATTTGCGAAATTTTTATAATTTTTCTACAAAGCTTGAAATCTGAATTTGTATGGTGTTTGTTGTATAGTCAGCGACTTTTATAAAAAAATTATAAACATTAAATAAACAGACAAAAAGGCAAAACTGGTCAAAATATCGCACTCCTATTATTTTGTGGACCACTGTTCGACCTAATAAACGTTTAACATAAATTTTAAGTTCAGACTTACACATTTCATTTAAGCGTATACATATACAAACTAGTAATTTTTAGGAAATAACAAAGTGTTCAGCTATAAGTTTACCGGATTTGTTCCTGGAATAAAGAAGCTTGTATGAATAAAATTAAGTTCAGTATTATTTTATGTGGATATTACAAATTCTCATTTGGCAATCACCATGGTTTTACTTTTTCAGCAAATCAGCTATCGACTTCATTATTAGCAGTTTTTCTATTTCCCTCTGCTCTTTCCTTTCCCCCAAATCAGCCTTTCTCTTAGAGCGCGAAAAGCTAAAAAAAAAGCTAGCTATGTAAAAGTTACTGTTTCAAAACTCGCTATATTAATTTTTTATATATAAACTTTGCAAAAACTACCATACTGCGAATTTGTTTTTTAATGTTATTAGGGTCTTATTTATCCAAAGTTTCAGATAATAAAGAAAAAAGATACAATTTGGATTTTACTTGTTGTTGTAGACGTTTTTTTTAATTTATGTCTTACTATTATAAAATCACATAACGCTGCTTGCAAGTGGACTACTCATATAATTCAAACATACATATGTACCTGGTTTAGCTGGCGAAGTTTTCCTTTTGTTGGAAGTGGACGGCGTGAAATCGGGCTCGTCTATTACATATATACAAATAAATATATTTTATGTAAGGAATATTTATAATTTAAACATATCGCTCGTTTACTTCAATAGTGTCATAACTAAAAAAAAAACAAACTCGAGAAAGACGGCTTTAAAGTTTCGAATTTACATACATGAATACATATTTTGTTCTAGTTGGCTACTGGTAACCGATGCATCTGTGAAATTTTTACACAACATAGAAAAAGTAGCGGCAATTTTTGTGTACTTAAATATTTGTAATTTTTGATTATGACACTATTGAAGTAAATGAGCGATATGTATGTACCTGGTGTAGCTGGCGCCGCATCTTACAATTCTTCTACATCAGTGCTGACGTCAAGACTGGGCATCTCGCTGTCCAAGACACATGTAGGGTATATCGACTTCTTATTTTTAAATATTTCGTGGAGTTCACTTAATGTACATAAATATAAACGACAAATTTGATTTATTTCACTTAAAACATATTAAAAACCCTAACGCAGACTTACTTTTGATATGCGCAGATCTGTCTTGCCCTTCCCGTCTTGGATTTATTCGAAGCCGCTTGCTTGTAGTTCCGTTCTAGGGTATAGAATTTCGTCTGCACTTGCACCGCCGTAAACATGTATCCCATTTCGCAAAGTTCGTTGCGAATTGTAGTCCACATTTGCTTCGTGTTTTTTAGAGAATCGCTTTTTCCAATCTCGTTGGCGCATCCAACCACAATGGTTTTGCTAAATCTGGCGATTCTCTAGAGGCCGTATCCACATTTTGCTGATATGCACAAGCAGGCTGCTTAGATAGACATTTCTGGTTCTTTTTATCTTCCCCGGCCACTTTCTGTATTACACACTGATGACAGTTTGGATCTGCAGGTTTCAATAAGTAAATAAAAAGTGTTTATTCACAATGCTTATAGTCTAATAATCATAATTTCCGTTTCTTAACTGCTTGAATCTTTTTGTTCCTGGGGAACAACTAATTGTTAATTCATTGTTATTTTCCATTTTTATTCTTTATTTTTTCCCACCAAATGAATCAGCTGTTTAGCTGCTTACAAGTTTTTGCAAATTTCGCGTTCTCATACTTCTGTTTATATTTCGTGTCTTTGAGAGCAAATGCTGCTAAATTCTCAGAACATTTGCTGCTGGAGAATTTTGTCCTCTCAATACGAGTACACACTTTATCTCTGACTGGGACACTTATCTTAGTCTGATAACTTATCCGATTCCTTTTAATAGGTGCAGCAAGTCTAGCGAAAATAATAAAATTGCCGTAAGTAACTTCGAAAGCATTTTAAATATATTTCCAGAAATCAAAAAGCGAATATGGGTTAAATAGCTATAGTTCTCATCTAAAGAAGATATGAAATTTGATTTGTACATGTTAGAAAAGAGAAGGGGAGAAACAACAGCACAACCAAAATTATGTGTAAGGAGGACTTCGCGCAGTTTAACTAGTTGTACTTATATATTTTGTTTTTTATTGCCTTTGGCTCATTTGTTTATTTTGTTTATTGTCAACACTGTAAAGATAGCGCACTTCAGCATTTATTCTTTGTCTCTATTGAAATTCTCCCATCTTTGTTGTAGTCTTAAAGTTGCTTATTCTAAATGTTATTATGAATGTAAACAATAGCGAATCGGATAGCATTGGCTGCTGTAGTCGTGCAATGTTAAATATTTTATGTAGTCGTCAAAGCGGGTTCAATGTAGTGCACTTTAATGCGCGCAGCCTAAATTCTGAAAAAATGGATATTGTCAGAAGCACTTTTGAATTTTCGTCTGTGGACATAATCTGTGTTTCGGAGACTTGGTTTAAAAGCGATATTAGTGATTCCCATTATGACATAACAAACTATAAGCTTTTCCGGTCTGATAGAAATGAGAAAAAGGGTGGAGGAGTAGCCATATACTGCAAAAAATACCTGACGGCAAAGCTGATTCCACATGAGGCTATTACCAATATCGAATATATGCTTATTGAACTGTCTAATTGTGTGTCTAAAGTGCTTTTGTCGTGTGTCTACAACCCCAATAAATGTTTTAGAGTTTGTGACTATTTTCATGCTTTGTCACCTATTGCTGTTAATTATGACAGTATTATTGTCTGTGGCGATTTCAATGTTAATTTACTTTGTAGGGACTCTTACAGCACCAGATTATTGGATGATGTGGCTTCTCTTGGTCTATCGTTTGTAAATGTGTCAATACCTACGAGGTATGGTAGTAATTGTTGTTCAAGTTTGCTTGACTATTTTATTGTGTCTGATCCTTCTTGTGTTTTAAAGTTTGATCAAATGTCCTTTATTTCAGATCATGATCTTATTTTTTGTGCTTTTGATTTAAAATTTAACTTTGACCGCAATAAGTTGGTCAATAGCTACACCACATTTGACTACCGTTTTTTAAATGTCAATAGTCTCTTAAACGATATTTCCCGCATCGATTGGACAGTGTGCTGGGGACTTAGTACGGTGAATGAGAAACTTGCTTTTCTGAATGATAATATATTATGTAGCCTTCGGGCTCATGTTCCGCTACGAACATGTGTAAAGAGATCTTCGTGTCCCTGGTTCAACTCTGTTGTGCGAGCTGTGATTAGACAACGCAACACGGCATATTCCCGATGGAAAAAGAATCGCTCAGATTCTAATTGGTGTGCATTTAAGGCGGCTAGAAATGAAGCCACCATGGTCATTAGACGGGAAAAGCGCAAGTTCTTTATCAAGAAGTTGGATCCATCACTGCCCAATAATGTTCTTTGGAGAAACTTGAAAAGTCTCCGAGTACATATTAGTGACAGCACAAATTGCCTACTCGAGCCTGAAGCTCTCAATGATTTCTTCATTAATCGTACTTCCTCCTGCTTACCTTCTCCACAGCCCCCCTTCTCGTGCTCCCTTACACCGAATTGTGAAATGTTTGAGTTTAGTGTTGTATCCGAGTTTGATGTAGCTAGATGTACTAACAAAATACGATCCAACGCAATTGGTGAAGACGGAATTCCATTAAGGTTTGTTAAAGTAATCTTGCCGCTCATTTTACCTACATTGACTCACATCATTAACCATTGTTTTACAACCTCATGCTTCCCTGATGCTTGGAAGATTGCAACAGTGGTTCCAGTCGCTAAAAATAAATCTGCATGTAGTCCTTGTGACTTCCGTCCAATTAGTATCTTGCCTGTCTTGTCTAAAGTACTTGAGTCCTTAATGTCTGAACAAATATATTGTCATCTCAGCAAATTCAGGTTACTGTCTCCATCTCAGTCAGGGTTTAGAGCTAAACACAGCTGCTCCACAGCTATGATTAAAATACTTGACGACATACGGATATCCTTTGATAAAAACAATTTGACACTATTATGCCTTTTAGACTTTTCCAAAGCTTTTGACTCGGTTAGCCATGACCTACTTTGCTCTAAACTTAGGAATTACTTTGGGTTTAGTGAACTTGCTGTCCGATTAATGACAAGCTACTTGTCCGGAAGAGCTCAGAGAGTAAAAATTGGTTATGAAGTATCCGAACTTAGACCGCTAACAACGGGTGTACCCCAAGGCTCTATTATGGGACCATTACTATTTAGCATGTTCATTAATGACATATTTAATACTTGTCAACATGCAAAAATGCATGCTTATGCGGATGACATTCAAATTTATTTGTCAGGGGCTCATGACGATGTGGTTAATTTGGTCGCGGATTTCAATAGTGATTTGTCGTCTATATCTTCATGGTCTGTGAGAAACGGTCTATGTCTTAATAGTGAAAAATCATTTGTTTTACCAGTATGTAAAAGAAATATTAATTGTAATGTGATGCCTTCTCTGTACATTGGTGATAAGTCCCTTAAGTTTGTGTCAAAAGTAACTAACCTAGGTTTTGTTATAAACACTAGTTTAACCTGCATTGATCATATTAATTCCGTTGTCGGCAAAGTATATTATACTCTGCGGAATTTAAGAATGTCTGCTACTTTTACACCGGTGTGCATTAGGCGTAAACTCGCCATTCAATTAATATTGCCTATAATATGTTACTCGGAATTAATCTACAGTAAGCTGGACTCACAATCTGCTCATAAAATTGATGTGGTATTCAATCACGTTACGCGGTATGTTTTTGGGTTGGCGAAATACGATCATATATCTGAATGGAAATCACTGCTCCTGGGATGCGGTATTTTTGAATACTTGAAGGCTAGAAATTGCATTTTTCTATTTCGCCTTATGTTTGAAAAATTGTCTTTCCCGAAATCTGCGCGCCTAACGGAATTGATCGTGCCCAACTATAATTATCTAACATCTGCAAGACTATTTTTTGTTAATGCTATTCGCACCTGGAACTCGATTCCATCTCATATTCGTAATAGTTTGAACATAAGCAACTTTAAGAGTGTTTTGTATTCTTATTTTCGTTAAAATGCTATTTCATATCCAAAGTTATACCCTTTCCTCTGAGGCTCGCTATCTAGTTAGGTATAGGGTAATCAATACATTATTCTTATGTTTTTCCTTATGCTCCACCTGTGATTCTCTATAGAGTTTTGTAAGTTTTTGTTGTTCCTGTTTTTGACTTATATATTACTTAATTTTAAGCATTAACATATTGTAATTCTTTATTATAAGTTACAGTTGTACTATAAAAGATCATTGGGATCTTATTGTGCTAATGTTATATTTTATAATAAATAAAATGAAATGAAAATGAAGACATACTAGACACTGGACTGTATGGGCGAATAAAGGGTGGTTTTCATTATGTCATATTTTGACAATAAAATTTGTTGACATATTTTTACACAACTTTCTATCCTTTATACCTACCTTTATCGATGATATTATGGGCCAAAACCTTAGAAAATAGCCGCTTTAGCAGCGCATGTACACGCCTGAAGGCCTATTCTGATTTAAATCAATCAAACGACCATTTTTTAGTCCCATTTGACAATATGTTTTCACTCATTTGACCGCAAATGCCACTGAATTTGACTTAGTGAAAATAAGCGTTAAAATTAGTAGAAAAAAATTACGAATTTCATGATAGCTAAGTAAAGTGTTAATTTTTCGTAGTGGCTGCTCTGAATGCAATGTAAATTGTTTAAGATAATACATAATATGACTTTTTTAATTTCTTCCTTTTGGCCACTGTTCTTTAGAATTATTTATTCTTCAAAATAAAAGCGAGGCTTCTCCCGTGCTTACAAGTAAATATATTAGCACGGTAAAGGAAAAAGAAAAAAAAAACTAAAAATACATCTGATCAAAAGATAATTGTACCTAAAATCTAGTGACTGTACCTAATGTGCCTTTAAGTCATCAAACGTCGGAAGAAGGTACAATTGTACCTACTTTTTCATCCATGATGGGGATTCCTTAGCGCTCGAGTTGTTTTTAGATAAAATTAGCTTGATTGAGGACTTAGCTGAAGAAGATTTGACCAGTACATTAATTTCATTTTTGAAATGAAAATTAGAGGGCAAAGCCCGCGAAACCTTACCAACACTAAAAAATTCCTTTAGTGACATAAAATCTACTCTACGCAATAGAATTAAACCTGACAACTCCAAAGCTGTGGCAGGGAAGATAGGCGCGTTACACTTTAACAATAACAATTATCCAGAGCGTTCGTTAATTATAGAAGGAATAACTCAAGAAAAGGCTCAAGAAATGGCGATTGAGCAAACTGTTAACGTGTGTCGGTTAAACGCAAGGTGAGACTTATTAAAATCAATTTTAGCTTCAACAAAATTTTCAGATTCCAAAGACGTATTTGCGAAACTAATTTTAGAGCAGAATAATGAGGTAAAGGAGCAACAAGTTCTTTCATTCCGATCGCGTGGTAATAACACGTTTAGAAATTCACGT